ACCTGATTTAAGTTTTTGGGGCCCTGGGGATGAAAGCGGCCGCCCTCCTCGGTGCCTTTTCTGGTGTTTTTTGCTCTTTCCTAGCCTGGTAAGCCGAATTTTTGTGAGTGAGGCACAGCGAGGAGGTGGTGAAATGGTGATAAAAGCCTGGCCCCACAGCCCAGCAACGATTGTGGCACCGAGCGACCTGAGCAGGATGTGGTTTTGGTGCAATTTCTCCTTTTTATGGGTTGAAAGCGCTCGGTGCGAGCTAAAAATAACCCAAGTCCCCCCCCCCGGCCCCATTTCAGATCCACGAAAGGGATCCCTGAGGGCTCTGGATCCCTGTTACCGCCTTCACCCACCCTCGTGGTGTTTATTTTCCCTTAAATCTCATAATTTTCCCCTTAAAAATTGCCTTTCCTCCTGTCTCTGGGCGTCTGTTATCTTATAAAACTCCCTTAAAACCTCATTAGAGCAAATAGCCCCGATCTCACGCTAATTCCACCCAATATCACCACGCGTTTACTCTAATACAGCTCCGGGCAATGCCCATTTTAATGGGGAAAATAAATTAATTTGTTTTTTTTTTTCAGGGCCTGAGGCGGGTTTTAAAGGATTTCCCCCAGGTAAGAAGTGGAAAATTTTATTATAAATCCCTTTTTTTCTGGTGAGAAAAACTTCAGGGCTGTGTGAGTTCACAATCCATAAATGGACTTTTTCACTTAAAAAAACCCTTTACAACACATCTATTATCTCCTCCATGATAAATTTCTCCTTTTTTGGGGCATTTCTCCCCATTTTTTGGGTGTGCACGTGGCTGGGTGTGACCTGACCTGGGCTCAGTGCTGTGTTGGGGAGGATTTGACCACCCCTGTGCCTGCTCCCGTGGGGAATTTGGTGCTCCAGGTGATGATGAACCAGCTCCTGATCCTTTTTTTTTAACAAAATAATGAAAAAAAACAACAAGGAAGGGGACAGCTGGAAGGTGCATGCCTCAACCTAGAGAGAAAACCCACCAAGAGAGGCTAAATGTGCTAATTCCTTATTTTTTCCTCTTTTTTTCTGTATTTTTTCCTTTTTTTCAGGCATGTGCCAATGGAAAATCATCTGAGAGTTCAAGAAATTCCCCAAACCTGCAGAGGGCAGAGCTGAGATTTCTGCAGGAGGAGGAAGAGGCCAGAATCATCAAAATAGTGGGGAAAAAAACCACAATTTTGGTCCAAACAGCCACGATACTACACAGAAAACACCAGGAGCTTGATATCAGGTGGGGAAAACCCCACGGTGCTGAGCTTTGGGACCTAATTTCCTTTTTTTTTCCCCATTTTTTGCTCTCATTCAGCGCCGGTTTCTTCCTCCAGGATCCTAAAAACACGAGCAAAAGGAGGATTTTTCCCTCAAAAAGCACTTTCTCTGGGAAAATGCTTCCTGCTGGCCTGGGTGCGATTTCCTTTGTGTTTTTTTTTTTTTTTTTCCTTTTTCCCCTATTTCTGGCAAATATTAAATGGTGAAATGGGAACCTTGGCGCAGCGTTTCCTACGGGGAAGGGCGGAGATGAGGATACTTCCCCTATTTTGCTGTTTTTAGGACAAATTTCAGCAATTCTGAAACCCGAAGCAATCGCATTGGGTTTTGGGTCCGTTTCTGTGCATTTAAGGGGAGTTTGGGGTCCGTCCTGTTGCATTTAAAGGGATTTTGGGGTCTTCTGTTGCATTTAAAGGGAATTTTGGGTCCGTCCTGTTGCATTTAAGGGGAATTTTGGGTCCGTCCTGTTGCATTTAAAGGGATTTTGGGTCCGTCCTGTTGCATTTAAAGGGATTTTGGGTCCGTCCTGTTGCATTTAAAGGGAATTTTGGGTCCATCCTGTTGCATTTAAAGGGATTTTGGGTCCATCCTGTTGCATTTAAAGGAATTTTGGGTCCATCCTGTTGCATTTAAAGGGATTTTGGGTCCGTCCTGTTGCATTTAAAGGGATTTTGGGTCCGTCCTGTTGCATTTAAAGGGATTTTGGGTCCGTCCTGTTGCATTTAAAGGGATTTTGGGTCCGTCCTGTTGCATTTAAAGGGAATTTTGGGTCCGTCCTGTTGTATTTAAAGGGAATTTTGGGTCCGTCCTGTTGCATTTAAAGGGATTTTGGGTCCGTCCTGTTGCATTTAAAGGGATTTTGGGTCCGTCCTGTTGCATTTAAAGGGATTTTGGGTCCGTCCTGTTGCATTTAAAGGGATTTTGGGTCCGTCCTGTTGCATTTAAAGGGATTTTGGGTCCGTCCTGTTGCATTTAAAGGGATTTTGGGTCCGTCCTGTTGCATTTAAGGGGAATTTTGGGTCCGTCCTGTTGCATTTAAGGGGAATTTTGGGTCCGTCCTGTTGCATTTAAAGGGATTTTGGGTCCGTCCTGTTGCATTTAAAGGGATTTTGGGTCCGTCCTGTTGCATTTAAGGGGAATTTTGGGTCCGTCCTGTTGCATTTTAGGGGAATTTTGGGTCCGTCCTGTTGCATTTAAAGGGATTTTGGGTCCGTCCTGTTGCATTTAAAGGGATTTTGGGTCCGTCCTGTTGCATTTAAAGGGATTTTGGGTCCGTCCTGTTGCATTTAAAGGGAATTTTGGGTCCGTCCTGTTGCATTTAAAGGGAATTTTGGGTCCGTCCTGTTGCATTTTAGGGGAATTTGGGGTTTGTCCAAGCCTGGCGTGGATCAGGAGGGTGAAATTTAAATTGGGTGAATCCTTTCTACCTGGAAAAAAGAGGGGAAAGAAAAACCAAACGGAGCCGGGGCTGGTTTTTAGGTGCTGTTTATTGAGCGAGTGGCGGGACGCGGCGGCGGGGAGGCGTTTGGGGTGAAACCCGAGGCTTTTGGGGAATTTTTAGGGGCAGAAAGTGAGCAGGGCCGGCCCTTCTCCCAACCACAGCAGGGGTCTCAGCCTCTCCCCGGCGAAGGCTGCGGGGGGAAAGGCGAAAATCTCCACCTCGCTATCGGCGTCCCGAAAAGCCACCCTCCCTCCCCCGTAATCCAGGGCCACCTCGATGCGTTTCGGCACCCGGGCCAGGTGCAGGCAGGTGGGACTTGGCCAGGTGAGCGCCCTCAATTGCCCCAACCACTGCCCCACAGCCCAAACGCCCCGCGCGGGGCTCAACCCGAAACATCCCTTGCGGGGCACGAATTCCCGAGCCACCCCCAAAGCCCAGTCGGGTCCCGGTGACACCTCCACCGCCCAACGGTGCCGTCCTGCGGCGAAACCCTGGCGGCCCAAAACGCACCGAAGAGCCTCGAAACGCTCCGAGCTCCCCGGAGGAGGGTCCCGAGGGGTTTTGCGCCGCCGGGCGCTGCGGCCGTCCGGGGACACCAGGATTTGGGGGTGAGCGGTGGCCGGGTCCAGGGTGACGTTCGCTGGGGGGACAAAAGGGTTCGGGGTTTGAGTCCTGATTATTTGGTGCATCCCGTTATCAGCTCCAAATATTGCACCCCGCTATCGGCTCTGGGTCTTGGTCCCAATTATCGACTCCAAATATTGATCCGGATTATCAATTTTGGGAGTCGAACCCAATTATCAGCTCCAAATATTGCTCCAGATTATCAGTTTTGGGAGTCAAACCCAATTATCAGCTCCAAATATTGCTCCGGATTATCAATTTTGGGAGTCAAACCCAATTATCGGCTCCAAATATTGCACCCCACTATCGGCTTTGGGTTTTGCTCTAGGGCATCAGATCCAAATATTGCACCCCAATATCAGCTCTGGGTCTTGCTCCCGATTATCAACTCCAAATATTGCTCCAGATTATCAATTTTGGGGAGCTGAACCCAATTATCAGCTCCAAATATTGCACCCCAATGTCAACTCTAGAATTTAAACCCAATTATCAGCTCCAAATATCTGCTCTGGGTCTTGCTCCTGATTATCAGCTCCAAATATTGCTCCAGATTATCAATTTTGGGAGTCAAACCCAATTATCAACTCCAAATATTGCATGTCCTATCAGCTCTGGATCTTGCACCTGCTCCAAATATCGCTCCAGATTATCAGTTTTGGGAGTCGAACCTGATTATCAGCTCCAAATATTGCTCCAGATTATCAGTTTTGGGAGCTGAATCTAATTATCAGCTCCAAATATTGCTCCAGATTATCAGTTTTGGGAGTCGAACCCAATTATCAGCTCCAAATACTGCTCCAGATTATCAGTTTTGAGAGTTAAACCCAATTATCAACTCCAAATATTGCTCCAGATTATTAGTTTGGGGAGTCGAACCCAATTATCAACTCCAAATATTGCTCCAGATTATCAGATTTGGGAGTCAAACCCAATTATCAGCTCCAAATATTGCACGTCCTATCAGCTCTGGATCTTGCACCTGCTCCAAATATTGCTCCAGATTATCAGTTTTGGGAGTCGAACCCAATTATCAGCTCCAAATATTGCTCCAGATTATCAATTTTGGGGAGCTGAACCCGATTATCAGCTCCAAATATTGCTCCAGATTATCAGTTTTGGGAGTCGAACCCGATTTTCAGCTCCAAATATTGCTCCAGATTATCAGCTCTTGGATTTGAACCCAATTATCAGCTCCAAATATTGCTCCAGAATCTCAGCTCTGGGTTTTTCAGCCCCAAATATTTGATATTAAACCAGAACTCGAGGTCTAAACGTGGCCCTGAAGCCGGATTTACCTTTCTGGTACCCCCCCAGGTCTTCCTCCAGGGAGCAAGCCAGGACATCTGAAAACAGAGAAAAAACCCAAAGATTTACAGCCCTGCATCCAGCAGCTCCTTCCCCACCTCTTCTGGGCATTAAGAACTAATTAATGCCCTGAACACTTAATTAAAGCCCTGATTTAATCACTAATTAATTGCCTGCAGCTCTCCCTCCCTTAAGGGAGCTATAATGGGTCTCTAGGGTGAAAATTATTATTTTTTTTTAATTTCAATTAACGGGTGTTTGGTGAATTTGGACTTCCCAACCCAATTTTGCCAGCTCTTGGGACGCCTGCCCCCCACCCAGGCTTTGTTTTCTGCTCACGAAATCACTGTTTTTTGCCCCATTTTCCCCTCCAGGTACCTTTGAGCCTCTCCACCACCGCTTCCAGGGCGTTGTTTTTTTGGGAGAAGTCCTCGAGCTCCGCTTCAAGCTCCAGCGGCCGCGGCCTCTGCTCCGTGCTCCTCGTTGGGGGGAAAATCAGAATATTTAACACCGCCACTCCTGGCCAGGAAACCCCAAATCCCCCCCAAAAATGTGCTGTAAAGCCAGGGGGAAGCGAAAACTAGAGGATTTTGTGCCCCAAAGTAGAGGAGTTTGTGCCCAAAAGTAGAGGATTTTGTGCCCCAAAATAGAGGAGTTTTGTGCTCCAAAATTGAGTTTTTTTGTTTGTTTTTTTTTTTTCGGTTTTTGGTGCCCCAAAATAGAGAATTTTATGGCCCCAAAATAGAGGGTTTTATGACCCCAAAGTAGAGGTATTTGGGCCTCCGAAATAGCAGAGTTTTGTGCCCCCAGAATAGAGGGGGTTTGGACCCAAAATAAAGGTTTTTTATGCCCCCAAAATAGTCTTTTTGTGCCCCCAAAATAGAGGAGTTTTGTGGCCTCCAAGTAGGGGATTTTTGTGGCCCAAAATAGAGGAATTTATGGCCCCAAAATAGAGTTTTTTTTGTGCCCCAAAGTAGCCAGGTTTGGGGCCCCAAAATGGAGTCCTTTTTGTGCCCCCAAAGTAGAGGGGTTTTGTGCCCAAAAATAGAGGATTTTATGGCCCAAAAATAGTTTTTTTTATTATTATTATTTTTTGTGCCCCCAAAATAGTTTTTTTTTGTTTGTTTTTTTTTGTGCCCCCAAAGTAGAGGATTTTTGTGCCCCAAAGTAGAGGGTTTGTGTGCCCCCCAATATAGAAGATTTTATGGCCCAAAAACAGAGGGTTTTTGTGCCCCCAAAATAGAGGGATTTTTGCCCCAAAGTGGAAGTTTTTTGTGGCCCCAAAGTAGCAGAGTTTTGTGCCCCAAAAATAGCGGATTTGTGCCCAGAAGTGGCGTCTCAAAGCGATGTTTTTTGCCCCGCGGAGAGAACCCCCCGGTACCTGCTGGGGGCGACTCCGGCGTCCTGGGGGGGAGGAAGGAAAAGAGACACTCAGGCACTATTTTTGTGCAAAAAAAAGTGAAAATTGGGATTTTTTAGGGAGGATTTTGGCTCACCCATGGATTTCCACCGCCTTGCCAGCCCTTGGCTTCCTCCAGCCCCCGCTGCAGGTGGCCCAGGCGGGCCAGTAGCCACGATTCCTGCTGGCCCACGAGCCCCCGCAGCCCCCCCAGCACCGCCAGCAGTTTTTGCCTCTCGGCCTCCACTCGTGCCTGGGGAGGCAAAAAAATTTAAAAAAATTAAAAAATATATAAAAAAAGAGGCTGGCAGCAGGGAAAAGGGCCAAAAGCCACGTTTTTCGCCCTAAAAATATTTGGCACCCACCAGCAGCGCCTGCTGGCCCCCCCCGGGGGTGTCAGCAGCGTGGCCGCTCGCTCGTCCTCTTGCCTTTTATTTTGGGGGGGTCCGAGGTGCTCCTGGGGTCTGGAGGAGGACGGGGTGGGTTCCTGTAGGGGTGGGAAAAAGGGGTGAGAAGCCCTAAAATGCCCAAATTGGAGGTCCCCTTGGCTGAGCTCCATAAATCCCCTAAAAGCCCCCCCCAGGTCCCATTAATCTCCCCCTCTTCCCTCCCTCGTGAGACCCTTTTGGGCCCCCCTTTTCTCCTATGGTTTTTGGGTTTAAATCACTCATTTTTGGCTGCCAAGCCCTCCCACTTCTTCCAAACTCGCTCAAAACTCTCCAAATTGCAGCGTTTTAGCCCAATTTCCTCTCCCGGGTGCTGGGAGGGAGGGCACAGAGCTTCACCCCCCGGCGGAAAAGCTGAGCTTTAGGGGAATTATTTTTTTGGGGGGGATTTGGGGAGGAAGAGGGCAATTCTCTCACCTCCAAGCATTTTTTTGGGGGGGATTTGGGGAAGGAGAGGGCAATTCTCTTGCATCCAAGCATTTTTTTGGGGGGGGATTTGGGGAGGAAGAGGGCAATCCTCTCCCATCCAAGCATTTTTTTGGGGGGATTTGGGGAGGGAGAGGGCAATTCTCTCGCCTCCAAGCATTTTTTGGGGGGGATTTGGGGAGGGAGAGGGCAATCCTCTCACCTCCAAGCATTTTTTTGGGGGGGATTTGGGGAGGAGAGGGCAATTCTCTCTCCTCCAAGCATTTTTTTTGGGGGGGGATTTGGGGAGGGAGAGGGCAATCCTCTCGCCTCCAAGCATTTTTTTAGGGGGGATTTGGGGAGGGAGAGGGCAATTCTCTCACCTCCAACCATTTTTTTGTGGTGATTTGGGGAGGGAGAGGGCAATCCTCTCACCTCCAAGCATTTTTTTAGGGTGATTTGGGGAGGGAGAGGGCAATTCTCTCGCCTCCAAGCATTTTTTTGGGGGGGGATTTGGGGAAGGAGAGGGCAATTCTCTCGCCTCCAACCATTTTTTGGGGGTGATTTGGGGAGGGAGAGGGGAATTCTCTCCCATCCAAGCATTTTTTTGGGGTGATTTGGGGAAAGAGAGGGCAATTCTCTCACCTCCAACCATTTTTTGGGGGGGATTTGGGGAAGGAGAGGGCAATTTGCTCGCATCCAAGCATTTTTGGCCGCGGGGCCTGGCTCACCCGATCCTCGAGGGGCTCGGCGGGGGGGACGCGACGCTCGAGGTCTCCGCCAAGGCACAAATCCTCGCCCTCCACCAGCTCCCGCACCGCGGCCACCACGTTGGCCAACTGCCGGTTGGGGCAAAATCCTCCCGGGGGGAACGGGAGGCGGCACAGGGGGCAGGATCCGGCCCCGTCTTGGCTTTTTTGGGCGCAGCGGGCGACGCAGGAGCGGCAGAAGTTGTGGCCACAAGGCAGGAGCATCACGGGCCGGCGGAAAAAATCCAAGCAGACGGCGCAGGTGGCTTCCTCCCGGAGGTTTTTCACCGCGTTTCCTTGGGCCATGGTTCCGAGGAATTGTTGAGGCCACCGGAGAAACGCCCACGGCGAGGGGCCGGGCGTTGGGTTTTTTCCTGGAAGCCCGGCCGTAAACGCAGCGGGGTTTAAAGCGAAAGGAAAAAAAATAAAAATAAATAAATAAATAAAAAGAAACCCCACCCAAGAAGCGAAAAGGAAGAGGAAGCGGAGGCTTTCAGGCTCTTTTTCTCCGAAAGGAAAGCGAATTATTAAATAAATGCATTTATTTACTAATTAACTCAGCGAACCAAGCTTAAATATTCACTTTTAGAGATCGTAACCCACTTTTTTTTAAAGGCTTATCAAAAAGTTTTTAAGGTTATGAATTATGCTGGTAAAAAAATAAAATAACTCCAATAAAGCTGTAAAAACAACGGGTTTCTGAGCCGCAAATTAATCTGAGTTGGTTTTTGTCCTGGAAAACCACAGAAACTCCCCGGAGGTGGCTCGCAGCGAGGGTAAAAAGAGGCAGGAGTGGTGCAAAAACTCAGTGGGAAATTGCTAAAAATAAAATAGAATAGAATAAAATAAAATAGAATAAAAAAAATAGAATAGAATAAAATAGAATAGAATAAAATAGAATTAAAAATAAATAAAATAAAATAAAATAAAATAAAATAAAATAAAATATAAGAGAATAAAATAAAATAATAGAATAAAACAAATAAATTTTAAAAAAATAATAATAAAATAATAAAAATGCTGCCAAACCCCGTTAATAAACCCCAAAAGCGCCCCCCTGAGAGGCGGGGCCGGAGGGGCCGAGCTAGGCTCACCTTAGCGGATCTCAAAGGCGCGTTCTCATTGGTTTGTGACACGCAGCCAATAGGAACGCGCAGCTCGGCAGGCAGCCAATAGAAGGGGGAGTTTCTGATCCCCCTCCCCGCGCCGCACACGCGCTGGGGGAGGACTCGAGGGGCCGTTGGTGCGCGAGGATGGGGGGCGAGAAAACGTTAATAAATAAATAAATAAATAAATAAAAATAATAAAAATAAAAATAAAAATAAAAATAAAAATAAAAATAAAAATAAAAATGAAATCCTGGCAGATCTCGAGGTGGAAAAAAAATAAAGAAAAAATTATCCTTTCCTTTCCTTTCCTTTCCTTTCCTTTCCTTTCCTTTCCTTTCCTTTCCTTTCCTTTCCTTTCCTTTCCTTTCCTTTCCTTCCTTTCCTTTCCTTTCCTTCCTTTTCCCTTTTCCCCTTTTCCCCTTTTCCCCTTTTCCCCTTTTCCCCTTTCCTCCAGGAAACTCCTGGCACGGGGCGTTAATCACCAGGAGGGTAATTTCAAGCTTAATTAAATCTTAGTTAAATCTTCAGCTACTTCTCCCTCCCAAGAGGGAGCCCAACTTGCAAGCAGCAGCAGCAGAGGAATCCAGAGCTGTGCTGGATGAAAATATTCCTGCAGAAACTGTTATTTCTCATTCTCATCGTTATTTTCTATTAGGAAATTAAATTACATGTGGACGCAAGCCCATATCTCTTCTTACACGAGGTTTATTTTTCACTTATAAGCATATTTTGGAGCTCCAATGTCTCAGAGCAAGGATGTGTTGCACCTGCTGGATGCCTGCTCCCACGTTTGGCTTTTTGGGGCAAATTCCTGCACTTTAGGAGACTTTAACTCGGCTTTTCTGGATCCAGGGAAAATAAATAAAATAAAAAATAAAATAAAAAAAATAAATAAAATAAAATAAAATAAAATAAATAAAATAAAATAAAATAAAATAAAATAAAATAAAATAAAATAAAATAAAAAAATAAAATAAAATAAAATAAATAAAATAAAATAAAAAAGCCATGGCTTTTCTGGAGCTATGCTGTTGGGGAGCTACGGAGAAGGGGTGAACCTGCCTCCGGCCGTTCCCTTCCCAGGACGAGAAGATGCTGTTTTGGGGGGAGAAACGCCCCATTTTGGGGCGGAAAAATGCGTTTTGGTGGCAGCGGGAACCCAGTCCGAGGGGAGGGGGGGGAGCAGGGGCGCGCGGCGGTTGACTCTGTTGCGTCCGGCGGGGAGGGGGGGACGTTGACTCGGTTCCGTCCGGCCCGGTGCTATATAAAGGGGCCGCGGGGGCCCCCCTGCCCCGCAGTCGGAGGTCGGCGGCGGCGAGTGCGGGAGCGGAGCGGAGCGGAGAGAGGGGGAGAGCGAAGCCTCGAAGCCGGCGGTTGGGGGGGGGGGGGCTCCGGTGTGGTACCGGCCATGCCTCGCGGCAACACCTTGTCCCAGCCTTCCACCTCCCGGGCGGGTTTAGCGGTGCAGCTGCCGAAGAAGCGGGGGCGGCCGTCGCTGTCGGATCTGATTCTCCGCGCCGTCTGCGTCTCCACGGCTCGCAAAGGCGCCTCGCTGGCTCTCATCAAGAAGACGCTGGCCACCGAGGGATACGATGTGGTGAGGAACGGCAGCCGCCTCAAGGCGGTGCTCAGCGGTTTGGTTACCAAAGGGCTCCTGCAGCGCGTAACCGGCACGGGCATCGCCGGCTCGTTCCGTATCGGCCGCGTCGGTAAAGAGCGCGTGGAGGGAGCCGCGAGGAGCGGGAGGGCGGACGGCAAAAGCCGCCAGCGCCCCGCGGGGAAGACGAAAGGCCCGAGGCGCGCTGTCAAAGCCACCCCGCAGCGGCTGAAGAAGCCGAGGAGACCTCGGGGCAAGACCGCGGCGGCACCAGCGGAGCCGGCGGCCGAGGGTGCGGAGGCAGCCGAGCGCCCGGAGGCGGCGGTGGCGGTTGAGGAGGAGCGTTAGGAGCGCGGTGGAAGAAAGCAATAAAACCTTAAAACTTTAAACCCAAAGGCTCTTTTAAGAGCCACCCCCCAGAGCTCAGCAGAGGGGCTGTACGCGCGGGGTGGCCGGAGCTGATGACAGCACGGCGGCAGCGCCGCTCGCTCGTCAAGGCTTCCCCGACGGGCGCACGGTGGCGGGGAAAGAGGGAGGCGGGGAGGGAGGGAGGCGACGCCCGCGGTCCCTCAACGAGCCCCGGGGAGCGGCTGCGGCTCCTCCGCCGGCGGAGCCCGGAGACCTCGGGGCGGGGAGCGCGCCGCTTGCCCGGCTCCGTGTGAGGTTCTCACTCCGGTCCGCACCTCCCTATGCGCGGGGCGGACCTGCCGGGTGCGGTTCTCAACCCGGTCCGCACATCCCCCCATGCATGGTGCGGACCTGCCGGGTGCAGTTCTCAACCCGGTCCGCACCCGACCGCAAGTCCTCCTCCCACCCTACCCCCCTGCCCCCTTGGATGCCAACCAGGAAGGAGAAAATAATAAATTGTTTTTTTTTTTTTTTTCTTTTTTTCTTTTTTTTTTTAAACAAACCCATCACCCGCACAGAAAAAAGGCGGTTTGAACCCATTTACAGCCGGGAAGGGGGGATGCCCGGGATCCCTCTCAGAATCCGCTTATCTGCGCCTTCTCCTCCACCTCCCACGAGCAGCGCCGCGGAGCAGCCCCCTCGCAGCCCAGGGCGCCCGGAGCCTCCTCGCATCGCTGGGGTTCCCTGGCTTTCTCCTGCTCCTCGTCCCACCGCACGCTTTTTCTGTCCCCCAAAACCTGCGGGGGAGCCGAGCCGGGATCTGGCGTCCCCTTTGCTGAGGGGGAGACCCGCGCAGGTCAGAGGCAAAGCCCAGGAAAAGCTGAAGTAAGAAAAAAAGCTTTAAATAATAATAATAATAATATTAATAATAGCTTCCTTACCCTTTTCCTCAGTGCTCAGGATTTTCCCTGTTTCCAGCTTTGGTTTGGGTCTCCCTGGGTCTGGAAGGAAGGAGGTAGGGAGGTGGTGGATGCGCCTCAATCGCTGCCTCCTTCCCCCAAACTCCTTTTCCTCCTAAAATTACCTCGCAATTCTTTCAGAGCCTCCTCGAGGGCAGCGTGCTGGCGGCGGCAGGAGCGCAGGCTCTTTTCCAGCTCGGGGGGAAGCTGCGGCCTCGCTTCGTTCCAGCTGGGGAGAGAAATTACAGCGGTGGACTCGGCGCGAGGGTTGGGGCTAAACCCGTGCAGGTAACAAACCCAAAAAAATGGGGGCTGAGGGTTTTGTAGTGCTGAGAAGCAGAAAAGTGGAAGTGGCGGCGCTGGTTTCATCCCCGGAGGGTGAAGCTTTGGGGTTTTATTGGCTTCGAAGCAGGGTAATGAGGTGTGGAAGCGATGGGGCGCCGCGTACCTGCTCAGGCCGCTCCCGGTATCCTAAAAAGGGGGAAAAAAAACAGGATTAAGGGCCCCGTGTGTGGATTTTTGGGGGGTTTTACCTTCATCCTGGGAGCCTCACCTGGGGCAGCCGCCCGGCCTCCAGCTGCCCGATGAGGCCGTGGAGCCGCGCGATTTCCTCGGCCACCCGCGAGGCTTTTTCCACCTGGGCGGCCTCGAAGGCGGCGTCGAGCTCGGCCAGGCGCTGGAGCACCGCGCGCTCCTTCTCGTCCAGCAGCCGCCGCAGCCGCTCGAACTCGCTCCCGATGCGCCGCCGCTCGGCCTCGCTCGTCTCCTGGGGGGGAAGGAAGCAGGAGGGGGAAACCTCCCCCCCGTGACCGCGCGTCTCCCCCCAGACCTGATTTATTTTCCTCCTTTTTAAGCTAAGGACAAAGCGTTTTGGTTGGAGCCGGGGGGGTTGGAAGGCTGGGGTAGAGCAAGATGTGGTTAATTAAAATTAAAAATGCTTTTTCTGCTCTTTTTCCCCTTCCATCACCATCCCTGCTTCATAATTAGCGCAAAAACCCAAACCAAAGCCTCGGAAAGTGAGCGTGGAGGGGAAAGTTTTAATTCCTTACTAATAAACTTCCCTTTGGGGGCTCGGTATGGAATTTAACGAAGCGATGCTGCTAATTAAAGCAATTTAAAGCGCTAATATGCAGGTGCACGGGGAATCGCAGCTGGGCGTGGAGGCAGCACTCACCAAACCTGCCCGGGATCCGCGCGGTCGGGCTCGACCGGGTGTGGGGCTTTGCAGGGCGCGTCGCGGGGATGTTCCCGAGTGTTTTAGTCAGAATAAGAAGAAAAAAAAAAAATCCCAAAGCCCCCAACGGAGCTGCTGAACCCCCGAGGGGCCCTTACCAGGTAGTCCAGGCGGCGCTTCTCGTCGGCCACTCTCCAGTCCAGAAACTCCGCTAAGACTTTCCGTAGGGATTGGAGGTGAGATTGGATTTTCTCCTAAATATAGACCCCAAAAAAATAAAAATAACGAAGCGATCAGCTTGGCTTGTTGGCTTTAAAATCCTCAATCAATTGGGGGAGGAAAGGAGCTTCCCAAAATCCACCTCTGGGACCGGCTCCAGCTTTCTGCTTCTCGTCAGGAGCCAAATCTTTTTGCTTTTACACCGGAAAATGAAAAAATTTTCCCTTTGCGCCAGCCTCATCCAGCCGCCGAACCCAACGGGATGCCCGCAGCCAGCCTCACCTCCTCCTCCTCCTTCTCCTCCTCCTCCTCGTGCGTCCCAAAAAACTTCGTGGCCGGAGCCCGCAGCCGCTCGCCCATTGCCACCGACGGCCTCGACCCGGAGGATTTTCACCCCGCGGGGTTTTTTCAGGGCCAGGAGAAGTTGGCGAGGAAATTCTGCGAGAAATCAGCCTCGGTGTTGAGGCTCCTTGCTGCTTCCATGCTTCACCACCGGAGGTTTGGAGCAGCGCAAGGCGAAGCCGAAATCCTGCGACCCGCCCCGGGGTGTTCCCATTATCCCAGCGCCACCTTCCCGGGTGAAAAAATCAGAGTTTGTCATCTTCGTCCTGCCCCCAGACGATTTTTAAGCAAGTGGTTGACTAAATCATCACATTTCTAAGCTTTGCTGGCTGATGGAAATGCAGCTGGTTCACCAAATTCCTCCTTTTTGCTGCGGTGTAAGAATGCAGGTTTTTAGCACATCCTCTCTCCTTTTTTTTTAATTTAATTTTATTATTTTTTTTTGTTAATGCATTGAAAAAATAAAATGCAGCCTTGAAGCAGAGGAAAGGGCACAATCGGAGCGGGCAGGAGGTGGCCACGCGTGTCGTGGCCCCGTCTGCAGCCGGGAGATTGGGGTTCTCCTCCCCCCCCCAGCTGATAAAAGCTGGCGGGGACAGAGACGGGACCGAGCTTTCGCTGAGCCTCTGCCAGAGAAACGGGGGAAAAAAAAGCCAAAAGGGGAAAAACCAAGCAAAGGGAAACAAGTGGGGGGAAAAAGCAGCCGGAGAAACCCCAAAACGGCGCTGGAAACGGCCAAGAAATACCCAAAAAGGAGGAGAAAATCCCAGCGCTGCAAGGTGAGTCCTTTTTTTGTTTGTTTTTTTCCCCTTTTTATTTATTTTTTATGAGTTTTGTAGCATTTGTGCAACTATTTGGGGCTTTTCTTACAATTTTCCTGCTCAGAACTGCAGCCGTTTACCACAGGCACTTATTTGTTTGTGGGTAAAGCCCCGCTTTGGGCTTAAAAAAGAGGGATTTGAAGCCTTCGGTGCCAGCCCTTATCTCCCCGTGCACACTTTTTCCCTGGGGCTGGAAGCAAATTTCTCCACTTTTGGCAACATTTCTCTCAAAACACTTTCCTTTGGAAACTCAGCGTCAACTTAGCTCGATTTTAAGGAAGTTTCTTGCTCCTCTGAAATAAAATAAATTCAATTTTGTTGCCCAAAGAGCAAGGAGAAGGCAGGGGTGGGTTTAAGGCAGATTTGTGGCTGAATTGGCCCCAAAAGGAGAATTTTTGGGTATAAATCATATCTGGCGGTAGATTGCTCTGTCCGGGCTCGCTCCTTGTGTTCCCTTTGTAGTGACAAGGAATTGAGAGATTTAATCTGAGAGATTAAATCTGATTAATTTGATTAATCTCAAATTTAATCTGAGAGATGAAATCTGTGGGTTTTGCCCTAAATAAACCCAGCTCCTTGATGGCTGCTGGAGGAAAATAGCAATTTTTTTCAAGTGTTTTGACTACAGATGGTGGATGAGCCAATTATGTGGGATAATAATTTAATTTTATTCCTTTTTTTTTTCCTTTTTTTGGCCCTTCTGGACAGGAGGAGAGGACACGGTGGGCGCAATGGCTTTCTTCCTCAAACCCCGGCCGTGCACGTGGGACTTGGCTGTGGACTACAACGCAGCGAAACAGTTTCAAGGTAAGAGAAAATGGTCAAAAAGGAGCCAAGGCCCAATTCCTGGTGTCTTCTGGGCTCCATAAACTGGGAGGTCTGTTGGGGTGAGGCTCCTCCAGTTCTAGCTTCGCCTGAAGAGTCTCCACCTCCTTGTTCCTTCATCTTCAGCCTCACGTGGAGGTCCTCCACATCCTTCTGGCTCCATCTCCAGACTCACCTGAAGGTCCTTCACCTCCTTCTGCCTCCATCTCCTGGATTCTCCATCTCCAGCCTCACCTGGAGGTCCTTCACCTCCTTCTGCCTCCATCTCCAACCTCAACTAGAGGTTCTCCAACTCCTTGTGCCTTCATCTCCCACGTTCTCCACCTCCAGCCTCACCTGGAGGTTCTCCATCTCCTGGGTTCTCCACCTCCAGCCTCACCAAGAGGTTCTCCACCTCCTTGTGTCTTCCATCTCCAGCCTCACCGAGAGGTTCTTCACCTTCTCGTGTCCTACATCTTCAGCCTCACCTGAAGGTCCTTCACCTCCTTCTGCCTCCATCTCCTGGATTCTCCATCTCCAGCCTCACCTGGAGGTCCTTCACATCCTTCTGCCTCCATCTCCAACCTCAACTAGGGGTTCTCCACCTTCTTGTGCCTCTATCTCCTGGGTCCTCCATCTCCAGCCTCACCTAGAGGTTCTCCACCTCCTTGCGCCTTCATCTCCTGTGTTCTCCACCTCCAGCCTCACTTGGAGGTCCTCCATCTCCTGGGTTCTCCACCTCCAGCCTCACCAAGAGGTTCTCCACCTCCTTGTGTCCTCCATCTCCAGCCTCACCGAGAGGTTCTTCACCTCTTTGTGCCTCCATCTCCAGCCTCACCGAGAGGTTCTTCACCTTCTTGTGTCCTACATCTTCAGCCTCACCTGAAGGTCCTTCACCTCCTTCTGCCTCCATCTCCTGGATTCTCCATCTCCAAGCTCACCTGGAGGTCCTCCACATCCTTCTGCCTCCATCTCCAACCTCGCCTAGAGGTTCTCCAACTCCTTGTGCCTTCATCTCCTGCGTTCTCCACCTCCAGCCTCGCTTGGGGAGCCTCCACCTCCTTGCACCTCCATCTCTTGGGTCCTCCATTTCCAGCCTCACCTAGAGGTCCTCCATCTCCTGGATTCTCCATCTCCAGCCTCACCTAGAGGTTCTTCTCCTTCTTGTGTCCTCCATCTTCAGCCTCACCTGAAGGTCTTTCACCTCCTTCTGCCTCCATCTCCTGGATTCTTCATCTCCAGCCTCACCTGGAGGTCCTCCACCACCTTCTGCCTCCATCTCCGGCTTCACCTGGAGGTTCTCCACCTCCTCTCCCTTTCTCCTTGAAAACGAAGCAACTGGAGTGGATTTTGGGGGGCGGTTGATCCTCTGTGCTCGCGCTTCTTCCCGACTCCTCCTCTCTTTCTCTTTCCAGTGGATGTCACCCTGGATCCCACCACGGCCGGCCCCGAGGTGATCCTCTCCGAGGACCTCAAGGAGGCCACCTGGGGCAGACCGGGACGCCGCTGGCCGCAGGGCCCGGGCCGTTTCGACACGGATCCGTGCATGTTGGGCAGCCAGGGCTTCACCTCGGGTCGCCACTACTGGGAGGTGGAGGCGAGCGGGCGCTTCTGGACCGTGGGGGTGGCTCGGGAATCGGTGCGGAGGGAAGGCCGGATCCTCTTCAAGCCCAACGCCGAGATCTGGGGCTTGCAGAAGTACGACGAGCTCTGCGTGGCCCTCACGGCACCCTCCAACACCTTCGTCCCGCTCCGCAGCGGGGAGATCGGGGTCTACTTGGACTACGAGGTGGGGCAGGTCTCCTTTTACGCACTGGGCACCCGCTGCTGCGTCTTCACCTTCCGCGTGGCCTCCTTCAGCGGCGAGAGGGTCTTCCCCTACTTCTGCGTGCTGCTCTCCACCATCAAACTGCCCCCCAGGGCCTGACGAGGCGGCGACGGGGTCCCCCCGAAACCCTTCGGGTGCTTCCAGGAGGAACGGAGACGCCCCTCGCCGCCCCTCGCCTCATGTTATTGTTATGATTTGGGTTTTGTTTCCGTCAGGGGTTGGGGTGATTCCCACCATCTGTAGCTCACGGGTCTTCCTCACCTCGTTTCATTTCATTTTTATTCATTTTTATTCCTTTTTATTATTTATTTACATTTATTTTTATTTTTTTCTTCAGGGTCTGGGGTGATATCCACCGCCCATAGCTCACGGGTCTGCCTCGCCTCATTTTATTTTTATTTATGTTTATGTTTATTTATGTTTGTTTATTCATTTTTATTCAATTTTATTCATTTTATTCATTTTTATTATTTATTTTCATTTATTTTCAATTATTTTTATTTTTTTCTTCAGGATTTGGGGTGATTTCCACTGCCTGTAGCTCATGGGTCTACTAGATTTCATTTCTATTATTATTTTTACTTTTATTTTTTTTTACTTTGTTTACTTTTATTTTATTTTTATATTCATTTTATGGTACTTTTATTTCTCCTTCAGGATTTGGGGTGATTTCCACCACCTGCCTCAGGCTCCGATGTCTCTGTTATGGGTTAAATCTGGGAGGTTTTGGGTCTCGTGGTGGTTTGAGCCAGAACCCCCAGTCTCAGCTGAAAGTTGCTGGTTTTAGGGTTATTAAAAGCATGTTAATAGTTTAACGAGCTGAAATCTTTGTTTTTTCCCCAAACCCATGCTGACTTTCCACCCTGATTAAACTCCCAAATTTCAGCAGAATTCTCTTGAATGCTGTTGTCGTAATTTCCTAATTTCAGCAGAATTTGCTTGAATACCGCCTGCAGCTACCTGATAACAGAACTGAGTTTTAAATGAAATTGTTTAAAATCAGCTTTTTTCACAGGAATTTGCCATCCCTCCCCTTCCCTTCTCTGTTTGCCCCACTGTCGTTTATTTGAGCAATTAATGTGCCATTATCACTGGCTTCAGACCAAAATTAACAGGTTTTATTGTTATAAGGAGGAGAGGTGCGAGGGTGAATACGTTTGGGGTGGGATTTAATGGAAAAAAAATGGGGAAAAAAAAAAAAGTCCTTAAAATGCCTTTCACAAAATGGCGGCCGGGACCTCCCCTCAGAGCCGCCTCAGAGGTGGCGGGTTTCGTTCCGGCCGCTGATTGGCTGGCTGCCTCCGTTGCCCCGCCCTTGCCGGCTGCTGATTGGCTCCCGCTGCGAGGTTCTCTCTCCTCCCCTGGTTGCTGTCGTTGTGTTGGGAGACAGGGAAAAATTCGCTTTTTTTGGTCGTTTTTTGCCTTTTTTCGGCCTTTTTTCTACCTTTTTACGCGCGTTCTCGCAGCGCTGCACGCGGGCGAGCGCTTGGAGCTGCTGTCACCGCTCCCTTCCTCTGCTCTGCGCCGCGATGGAGGCAGCGGGACCAGCGGGCCCGGGATGGCGGCAGGGGCCGGGGTCGCGGCAGGGCCCGGCGGCACACGGTGAGTTCGGGTTCGGGGGGAGCGTTGCTGGGGGGGGGTCCACATTTTTTGGAAGGGCTCTTCTAAGGAGCCGGTGTGGGAGGAGCCTCCTTATAAGCCCCACCCACGTATAGATGTTCCTCGGTGTATGAGGTGCGGATGCTGAGCTGCATTTGCGGCTCCACCGTACAACCTGGAGGGCAGCGTTTTGGGATTGGGGCTGCGATTAAGGTTGGCATTGGGATTAGGGCTGGGGTCGGGAATGGGTTTGGGTTGGGATTAGGGCTGGGGCCACGGCTGGGGTTTGGGCCGTGAATGGGCTCGGGGTGGGGGCTCTGCCGGCCGGCCTCGGCCCCGGCGCGGCTGGGGGGGTTGCCGGGACCGGGACCGGGCCCCGGTGCGGCCGGGGAGATGCCGGGCCCGCGGCCCGGGGGGGAGCCGGGAGCTGCGTTTGTGGCTGCGCCCTACAAGCTGGGGGGCAGCGTTTTGGGGTTACGGCTGTGATAAAGGTTGGTCATTGGGATTAGGGCTGGGGTCGGGAACGGGTTTGGGATGGAATTAGGGCTGCGGTTGGGGTTGGGGCCGGGGCTGGGGTTTGGGCCGTGAACGGGCTCGGGGTGGGGGCTGCGCCGGCCGGCCTCGGGCCGCGGGGCGGCGGCGGCCGCGGGGCGGCGGCGGCCGCGGGGCGGGCGGCGGCCGGGGCCCGAGGGCGGGCGGCGGCCGGGGCCCGAGGGCGGGCGGCGCAGCCCCCACCCCGAGCCCGTTCACGGCCCAAACCCCAACCACGGCTCCAGCTTTCTCCCAGCTTCCTACCGTTCCTTTTCACCATGGCGTCACCTTCCCACATGTTTTTATTGTCATTTTTCTGTCTCTTCTGACTTTCTCCCTTCCTTCCAGGTCCTTCCTCCTCTGCAGCACCCCTTGTTGCCTGCCCCTGGCTGCTACTTTCCCAGCCACAAGCTGCCCTCAGAGGACCCGTGGAGATTTTGGCCCTTGGAGGCTACAGAGGGGAGGCTCCTGACATATGGCTGTGGCGTTGTCTGTGGAGGAGAAGCACAATGAGGACAACGATTCTGTGAGGGAGAGTAAGTGTTACGAGGCAGGGAACTCTGATGTTGTCCAGTTTTCCGTGCTCGTTTTCCTGCCCTTGCCGGCTGCTGACTGCTTCCTGCTTTTGTGGTTCTTTCTCCTACCGTGGTTGCTGTCTTTGTGGAGCGGTACAGTGAAAAATTTGCTTTTTTTTTTTTGTCTTTTTTCTACCGCCCTACACGCGTTCTCACAGCACTGCAGGCAGGTGAGCGCTTGGAGCTGTGCCCACCACTCCCTTCCTTTGCTCTGCGCTGCAGTGGGTCTGTAGCTCATGGGTCTGCCTCACCTCATTTTAATTTAATTTTATTTATTTTATTTATTTTATACTTTCATTTATTATTCTTTTACTATTAATATCGTACTGCTCATTCTGTTTCTCTTAGCTATCCTCCTCCTTTTGGGCCTGGGGGCCCTTCCCCTTCTTTGCTGAATGCACTACCCACTTCCTTTTAAGGAGAAACTTAATGAAATTTAAACGAGGGCACATGTAGAGGGGCAAGAAGCCCGTTGATTTAGGTGCTCCTGCTCCATCAGGGCTTGGCCTAGATGATCTTCCAAGGTTCCTTCCATTCCCTGGGGTTCCATGGAAGTCCAACCGTCCCCCTACCCCCAGGGTGTGGGGAGGGCCTGGCCTCTCTGAGCCCTGCTGCCAGGGGTCTGCACGGCGCTGGGACCCCTCACTTCCCCCCTTCTTTTCGTTGCAGGTCTTCTTACCAGGTGCAAGGTTAGAGTTGCGGCCAGGAAGCTATACGTGTTCTTCGGCGCCATCATTGTAATAGGGTCCCTGGTTCTGATCTCCGTTATCATCTGTGAGTGTTCCCAGGTGGTTTCGGGCTCTGCCCTGTGGCCCCAGCTGCCGGCAGGGGGAAAAAAAAAGGGGGCTCGGTGCCTGTATCCAACCCTGCTGCCTTTTTTTGCTCCTGCAAACCTCTGGATTTCTTTGTCCTTAGGGCTCTCTCAACGTCCGTGTTCCTGCCCCCGTTTGTGGATCGGGTTCGAGGGGAAATGTTTCTACTTCTCCGACGGGGAAAAGAACCAGACCTTGAGCCGGGCTGACTGCCACGAGCGCGGCGCCAACCTGGCCGTGATCCAGTCCAGGGAGGAGCTGGTGAGGCTGGGGCTTTTCTCCTTTTTTATTATGGGTGGGGGGCAGAGCTCTGGGGGTGACGGTGAGCCCCCTTTTCAACCCTGCTCCCATTCTGCTCCCAGGACTTCATGATGCGCTATAAAGGTTCTCACGACCACTGGATCGGGCTGAGCCGCCAGAACCCGAGGCAGCGCTGGGAATGGGACGATGGCACCGAATTTGACAGCTCATTGTGAGTCCGCCCTGCCCTGCACGTGGGTTTTTGGGGTGAGGGGGCAGGAAGCATGCAGGATGCTCACCCCACTGCCTCCCCTGCAGGTTTCCCATCGGAGGAGGCGAGGATTTTGCTTTCTTGAACAACCAAAGAGTCACCAGCGCGCGCAGCAGCGGCGAGCGGCACTGGATCTGCACCAGGCAGCCCTGAGGCCGGCAGACAGGGCGCCTCCAGGTCTCGTGCAGAAAATCCCTCACACCTTGGTGCCCTGGTGGATGTTTTGGGGAACTGACGCAGCAGAACAAGACCCAGGGTTCATTTCTGTACTGGGTCTGGCTGGGATGTTAACTTTCCCTGCAGCAGCCCATACAGTGCCGTACTCTGTACTTGGAGCTAGAACAGCAGTGGTATCACACCAGGGTTGTGTCTGCTGCTGAGCAGTGCTGGCACAGCATCGGGACTCTCTCTAACCCTCCTAGGGGGTGGGCAAAAAGTGAGGAGGGAAACATCACCAGGGCAGCTGACCTAAACCAACCAAAGGGATATTCCGTACCGTGTGATGTCACACTCAGCAATAAAAGGTGGAAGCAGGAAGAGGAGAGGAGGGGTGGGCTCTCGTTGGGAAAATGTTGGTCCTCATCTTGAACACCGGCTGCGTGCGTTGAGGCCTTGCTTCAAGGACATGGTCAATCATCGCTCATTTGTGGGAATTAGTAATTTCTTTCCTCTGCACTTCCATATAGCCTTAATTTATTTTGTTTGTTTTCCTCCCTTCTTTTTATTTTTCCCTTTTCCCCTTTCCCTTTTTATTTCCCCTTAGTTAAATTGTTTAGTTCATAATAATCTTTATTATTATTATTTCGCTTTAATTAAATTATCCTTATCTCAACCCATGAGTTGTTGTTTGCTTTACTTCTCCCCCTCCTTATCTAAAGAGAGCAGTTGTGGGGTTTAGCTGTCCAGCATGGTAAAACCATAATTCCTCAGGCCTGCAGGTGGTGTTTTGTCATTGCTGCTGCTTCTGGAGCTCTTTCAGGTTTTCTGCTTCCCACTACGCAGTTCCCTTGGTTCTGCAAAACATTTTGTCATCTCAAACTCGTGTGTACTACGTTTTTGCTCCGTCTTTATCAGTGCATAGCATTAAGGTAGATAGCAGAGGCAAGGTTGTAGGAAAACTCCATTTTTAGCTCTTCAAACCCTTTTCTAAGGGCACTTGCACTTTTTTAGCAGAGGAGGAGGAGCATTTTAAAATACAGTGTTTTGCCAAAGAGATATCAGTGTTGTGCCCAGGCAGAAACTGTCACAGAATGGATGGGAATATCTCAAAAAATGGTTTGGGCTGGAAGAAGGCTTCAAGATGGTCCTGTTCCAACCTCACTGCCCTGGGCTGAAGTCCCTGAGCTGCTGCGGGAGGGGAAATCAGCTGTAACCCATCACCCCTGCTGGTGCTATCCTGAGGAATGTGAATAGCAGGGGTATGGCTGTGCCAAGGAACAACTTCCCACAGTTGCAATTCCTCCTGTACTCGAACAAACTCTTCATGGGCTCCCAGGCTGGATGGCAGTAGCAGTTCAGTCGGGTCCACGTTAATTTCAAATGATGCTCGTGGAGAGAAACGGTGCCTTTCTCTTGCTTTTCTGCTCCTCTGTATCTTTGTATTTTATCAACGCTACTTTTCTACGCGTTTTAATTTATGTTTTAATTTTGTGATTTATGTTTTAAATAAATGTTTTAATTTATGTGCAATTTACTAATAAAATATCTTTGCTAAGTCTGGCTCTGACTTTTATTGTTTCCTCTGGCATTACCCTGAGATCCAACGCGAGGTGACAGTTTTTCCCTGCTCCTTTCTGCCCCTCCATGAAAACTCTCTCATTGGAAGACCACAGCTCCATCCTGTGCCACATCTCCTGAAAATACTAAGGATTTCCCAAGAAAGCCCAGGAAACTCAGGCAGCCAGGGCTTCACCTCGAGTCGCCACTACTGGGAGGTGGAGGCGAGCGGGTGCTTCTGGACCGTGGGGGTGGCTCGGGAATCGGTGCGGAGGGAAGGCCGGATCCTCTTCAAGCCCAACGCCGAGATCTGGGGCTTGCAGAAGTACGACGAGCTCTGCGTGGCCCTCACAGCGCCCTCCAACACCTTCGTCCCGCTCCGCAGCGGGGAGATCGGGGTCTACTTGGACTACGAGGTGGGGCAGGTCTCCTTTTACGCCCTGGGCACCCGCTGCTGCGTCTTCACCTTCCGCGTGGCCTCCTTCAGCGGCGAGAGGGTCTTCCCCTACTTCTGCGTGCTGCTCTCCACCATCAAACTGCCCCCCAGGGCCTGACGAGGCGGCGACGGGGTCCCCCCGAAACCCTTCGGGTGCTTCCAGGAGGAACGGAGACGCCCCTCGCCGCCCCTCGCCTCGTGTTATTGTTATGATTTGGATTTTGTTTCCGTCAGGGTTTGGGGTGATTCCCACCATCTGTAGCTCACGGGTCTTCCTCACCTCATTTCATTTCATTTTTATTCATTTTTATTCCTTTTTATTATTTATTTACATTTATTTTTATTTTTTTCTTCAGGGTCTGGGGTGATTTCCACCGCCCATAGCTCATGGGTCTGCCTCACCTCATTTTATTTTAATTTGTGTTTGTTTATGTTTATGTTTATTCATTTGTATTCAATTTTAATCATTTTATTCATTTTTATTATTTATTTTCAGTTATTTTCAATTATTTTTATTTTTTTTCTTCAGGATGTGGGGTGATTTCCACTGCCTGTAGCTCATGGGTCTGGACCACCTCATTTTATTAATTATTTTATTTTTTCCACCACTTGTGGCTCATGAGTCTCCCTCACCTCATTATATTATTATTATTATTGTTATTATTGTTATTATCGTTATCATTATTATTTCTTGAGGATTTGGGGTGATTTCCACTGCCTGTAGCTCATGGGTCTACTAAATTTCATTTCTATTATTATTTTTACTTTTATTTTTTTTTACTTTGTTTACTTTTATTTTATTTTTATATTCATTTTATGGTACTTTTATTTCTCCTTCAGGATTTGGGGTGATTTCCACCACCTGCCTCAGGCTCCGATGTCTCTGTTATGGGTTAAATCTGGGAGGTTTTGGGTCTCGTGGTGGTTTGAGCCGGAACCCCCAGTCTCAGCTGAAAGTTGCTGGTTTTAGGGTTATTAAAAGCATGTTAATAGTTTAACGAGCTGAAATCTTTGTTTTTTCCCCAAAACCCGTGCTGACTTTCCACCCTGATTAAACTCCCAAATTTCAGCAGAATTCTCTTGAATACTGTTGTCGTAATTTCCTAATTTCAGCAGAATTTGCTTTAATACAGCCTGCAGCTACCTGATAACCGAACTGAGTTTTAAATTAAATTGTTTAAAATCAGTTTTTTTCACAGGAATTTGCCATCCCTCCCCTTCCCTTCTCTGTTTTCCCAACTGTCTTTTTTTTGAGCAATTAATGTGCGATTATCACTGGCTTCAGACCAAAATTAACAGGTTTTATTGTTATAAGGAGGAGGTGTGCGGGGGGGAATACGTTTGGGGTGGGATTTAATGGCAAAAAAATGGGGGAAAAAAAAAAAAGTCCCAAAAATGCCTTTCACAAAATGGCGGCCGGGACCTCCCCTCAGAGCCGCCTCAGAGGTGGCGGGTTTCGTTCCGGCCGCTGATTGGCTGTCCGCCTCCGTTGTCCCGCCCTTGCCGGCTGCTGATTGGCTCCCGCTGCGAGGTTCTTCCTCCTCCCCTGGTTGCTGTCGTTGTGTTGTGGGACAGGGAAAAATTCGCTTTTTTTGGCCACTTTTTGCCTTTTTTTTGGCCTTTTTTTCTATCTTTTTACGTGCGTTCTCGCAGCGCTGCACGCGGGCGAGCGCTTGGAGCTGCTTTCAGCGCTCCCTTCCTCTGCTCTGCGGCGTGATGGAGGCAGCGGGACCAGCGGGCCCGGGATGGCGGCAGGGCCCGGAATGGCGGCAGGGCCCGGGGGCACGGCAGGGCCCGGCGGCACACGGTGAGTTCGGGTTCGGGGGGAGCGTTGCTGGGGGGGGGTCCACATTTTGTGTAGCCCTTTGAAGGGCTCTTGTGAGGAGCGGGGCTGGGAGGAGCCTCCTTATAAGGCCCACCCACATTGAAGGCTGGTGGAAGGCTTCCTCCCCGTACTACGGCTCCGGCCTACAACGTGCTGGGCAGTGTTTTGGGATTAGGACTGCGATTGAGGTTGGTCATTGGGATTAGAGCTGGGGCCGGGAACGGGTTTGGGATGGAATTAGGGCTGCGGTTGGGGTTTGGGCTGGGGCTGGGATTTGGGCCGTGAATGGGCTCGGGCTGGGGGCTGCTCTGTCCGGACTTGTCCGCAGCACGGCCGGGGGGAAGCCGGGAGCTGCGTCTGTGGCTGCGGCGTTACAACCTGGGGGGCAGCGTTTTGGGATTGGGGCTGCGATTAAGGTTGGTCATTGGGATTAGGGCTGGGGTCGGGAATGGGTTTGGGGTGGAATTAGGGCTGCGGTTGGGGTTTGGGCCGGGGCTGGGGTTGGGGCCGGGGCCGGGGCCGGGGCTGGGGTTTGGGCCGTGAATGGGCTCGGGGTGGGGGCTCTGCCGGCCGGCCTCGGCCCCGGCGCGGCTGGGGGGGTTGCCGGGACCGGGCCCCGGTGCGGCCGGGGAGATGCAGGGCCCGCGGCTGGGGAGGAACCGGGAGCTGCGTCTGTGGCTGCGCCCTACAAGCTGAGGGGCAGCGTTTTGGGGTTACGGCTGTGATAAAGGTTGGTCATTGGGATTAGGGCTGGGGTCGGGAACGGGTTTGGGATGGAATTAGGGCTGCGGTTGGGGTTTGGGCCGTGAATGGGCTCGGGGTGGGGCCGGAGGCCCGGTGCGCGACGGTGACGGCCGGGGGCGAGGCGGGCGCGATCGCGGCGGCGGCCTGGGGGCGGTGCCGGGCCCCTTTGGGTAGCTGAAATTGGGATTATTGATGAGATTGGGATCGAGATTGATACCGGGATCGGGGTGTTGGAGGCGGCCAAGCCCTCCCCTGTTTCCCAGGCTGCTGCCGGTTTTCTCCCAGCTTCATTCCGTTACCTTCTCACCGCAGCATCACCTTCCCACATGTTTTTGTTGTCATTTTTCTGTCTCTTCTGACTTTCTCCCTTCCTTCCAGGTCCTTCCTCCTCTGCAGCACCCCTTGTTGCCTGCCCCTGGCTGCTACTTTCCCAGCCACAAGCTGCCCTCAGAGGACCCGTGGAGATTTTGGCCTTTGGAGGCTACAGAGGGGAGGCTCCTGACATATGGTTGTGACGCTGCCTGTGGAGGAGGAGCACAACAACGAGGACAACGATTCTGTGATGGAGAGTAAGTGCTCTGAGGCAGGTGTGCCCGTTGTGCTGCCCTTGCTGGCTGCTGATTGCCACCCACCTGCGAGGTTCTTTCTTCTACCATGGTTGCTGTCTTTGTGGAGTGGTACAGTGTAAAATTTGCTTTTTTTTTTTTTGTCTTTTTTCTGCCTCCCTATGCGCGTTCTCACAGCACTGCATGCAGGTGAGCGCTTGGAGCTGTGCCCACCACTCCCTTCCTTTGCTCTGCGCTGCAGTGGGTCTGTAGTTCATGGGTCTGCCTCACCTCGTTTTAATTTTATTTATTTATTTTATTTATTTATATTATATTTTCATTTATTATTCTTTTCATCAGGATTTGGGGTGATTTCCACCACCTGCCTCAGGCTCCGATGTCACTGTTGCGGGTTAAATCTGGGAGGTTTTGGGTCTCGTGGTGGTTTGAGCTGGAACCCCAAGTCTCAGCTGAAAGTTGCTGGTTTTAGGGTTACTAAAAGCATGTTAAATAGTTTAACGAGCTGAAATCTTTGTTTTTTCCCCCAAACCCATGCTGACTTTCCACCCTAATTAAACTCCCAAATTTCAGCAGAATCCTCTTGAATACTTCTTCTACACTTCGTTTGCCACCCAGCAGCTATTGCAAGAGAGACCTAGGAGCATCAGGGCGTGAGCAGGAGGTTGGGTGGTGGAGTAGCTCCCTGGTGTCCCAGAGGGAAGGGAGCCGTGGGAACAAAGAAAAGCTTCAAGGCCTTGGGATGGTTGGTGAAAGATGTGGTTAATGAGACAGCGTCGAATTTTGGAATTTTTTGGAATTTTGATTACAATGGCAGGCGTCCTGCAAGCAGGTGCTCAGAGTAAAAGTTTCTTGCGACCTTCTATTCTGTGTTACCTGACTCCTCATTTCTCCCCTTTTGACATGTTGGCAGAGTACTACATGTTCAAAACCTCCTCGATGCTCTTCTGTACTCTATCTGTACAATTTTACATGTATTTGACCTACCCTTAATTTCTCCTTTGTTTTGTTTATTTTTTTTTTCTTTTAACCACTTCCTTTTTTGGCTAGAGGGCCCTTGTGATCTTCCTTTCTATTAATCTCGTACTGCTCATTCTTTTTCTCTTAGCTATCCTCCTCCTTTTGGGCCTGGGGGCCCTTCCTCTTCTTTGCTGAACGCGCTACCCACTTCGTAGCACACGATCACTTCTGAGGATGCGAGATGAGTGGCATTTTTGGCTTCAAAAAACACCTTCTATTGCAAAACTCAACGTTGTTCCTCGCAGCACTGCCCTGACAGGCCAGAAGGCTGCGCTGCCACCCAGCGAGAGAGACCTCAGCGGGCTGGGGAGAAACTTACTGAAATTTAAATGAGGGCACGTGTAGAGGGGCAAGAAGCCCGTTGATTTAGGTGCTCCTGCTCCATCAGAGATTGGCCTAGATGATCTTCCAAGGTTCCTTCCATTCCCTGACGTTCCGTGGAGGTCCAACCGTCCCCCTACCACCAGGGTGTGGGGAGGGCCTGGCCTCTCAGCCCTGCTGCCAGGGGTCTGCACGGCGCTGGGACCCCTCACTTCCCCCCTTCTTTTCGTTGCAGGTCTTCTTACCAAGTGCAAGGCTAGAAGAGTTGCGGCCTGGAAGCTATACGCATTCGTCGCCATCAGTCTAATAGAGTTCCTGGTTGTGATTTCCATTATCAGTGTGTGCTCCCAGATGGTTTCGGGGCTCATCCCTGCAGCCCCAGCTGCAGGTAGGGGGAAAAAAAAAAGGGGGGCTCGGTGCCTGTATCCAACCCTGCTGCTGCCCCTTCTTTGCTCCTGCAAACCCCTGGATTTCTTTGTCCTTAGGGCTCTCTCAACGTCCATGTTCCTGCCCCCCTTCGTGGATCGGGTTCGAGGGGAAATGTTTCTACTTCTCCGACGGGGAAAAGAACCAGACCTTGAGCCGGGCTGACTGCCACGCGCGCAACGCCAGCCTGGCCGTGATCCAGTCCAGGGAGGAGCTGGTGAGGCTGGGGCTTTTCTCCTTTTTTATTTTGGGTGGGGGGCAGAGCTCTGGGGGTGTTGGTGAGCCCCCTTTTCAACCCTGCTCCCCCTCTGCTCCCAGGAGTTCGTGCTGCGCTATAAAGGTTCTCACGACCACTGGATCGGGCTGAGCCGCCAGAACCCGAGGCAGCGCTGGGAATGGGACGATGGCACCGAATTTGACAGCTCATTGTGAGTCCGCCCTGCCCTGCACGTGGGTTTTTGGGGTGAGGGGGCAGGAAGCATGCAGGATGCTCACCCCACTGCCTCCCCTGCAGGTTTCCCATCGGAGGAGGCGAGGATTTTGCTTTCTTGAACAACCAAAGAGTCACCAGCGCGCGCAGCAGCGGCGAGCGGCACTGGATCTGCACCAGGCAGCCCTGAGGCCGGCAGACAGGGCGCCTCCAGGTCTCGTGCAGAAAATCCCTCACACCTTGGTGCCCTGGTGGATGTTTTGGGGAACTGACGCAGCAGAACAAGACCCAGGGTTCATTTCTGTACTGGGTCTGGCTGGGATGTTAACTTTCCCTGCAGCAGCCCATACAGTGCCGTACTCTGTACTTGGAGCTAGAACAGCAGTGGTATCACACCAGGGTTGTGTCTGCTGCTGAGCAGTGCTGGCACAGCATCGGGACTCTCTCTAACCCTCCTAGGGGGTGGGCAAAAAGTGAGGAGGGAAACATCACCAGGGCAGCTGACCTAAACCAACCAAAGGGATATTCCGTACCGTGTGATGTCACATTCAGCAATAAAAGGTGGAAGCAGGAAGAGGAGAGGAGGGGTGGGCTCTCGTTGGGAAAATGTTGGTCCTCATCTCGAACACCGGCTGCGTGCGTTGAGGCCTTGCTTCAAGGACATGGTCAATCATCGCTCATTTGTGGGAATTAGTAATTTCTTTCCTCTGCACTTCCATATAGCCTTAATTTATTTTGTTTGTTTTCCTCCCTTCTTTTTATTTTTCCCTTTTCCCCTTTCCCTTTTTATTTCCCCTTAGTTAAATTGTTTAGTTCATAATAATCTTTATTATTATTATTTCGCTTTAATTAAATTATCCTTATCTCAACCCATGAGTTGTTGTTTGCTTTACTTCTCCCCCTCCTTATCTAAAGAGAGCAGTTGTGGGGTTTAGCTGTCCAGCATGGTAAAACCATAATTCCTCAGGCCTGCAGGTGGTGTTTTGTCATTGCTGCTGCTTCTGGAGCTCTTTCAGGTTTTCTGCTTCCCACTACGCAGTTCCCTTGGTTCTGCAAAACATTTTTGTCATCTCAAACTCGTGTGTACTACGTTTTTGCTCCGTCTTTATCAGTGCATAGCATTAAGGTAGATAGCAGAGGCAAGGTTGTAGGAAAACTCCATTTTTAGCTCTTCAAACCCTTTTCTAAGGGCACTTGCACTTTTTTAGCAGAGGAGGAGGAGCATTTTAAAATACAGTGTTTTGCCAAAGAGATATCAGTGTTGTGCCCAGGCAGAAACTATCACAGGGTGGATGGGAATATCTCAAAAAATGGTTTGGGCTGGAAGAAGGCTTCAAGATGGTCCTGTTCCAACCTCACTGCCCTGGGCTGAAGTCCCTGAGCTGCTGCGGGAGGGGAAATCAGCTGTAACCCATCACCCCTGCTGGTGCTATCCTGAGGAATGTGAATAGCAGGGGTATGGCTGTGCCAAGGAACAACTTCCCACAGTTGCAATTCCTCCTGTACTCGAACAAACTCTTCATGGGCTCCCAGGCTGGATGGCAGTAGCAGTTCAGTCGGGTCCACGTTAATTTCAAATGATGCTCGTGGAGAGAAACGGTGCCTTTCTCTTGCTTTTCTGCTCCTCTGTATCTTTGTATTTTATCAACGCTACTTTTCTACGCGTTTTAATTTATGTTTTAATTTTGTGATTTATGTTTTAAATAAATGTTTTAATTTATGTGCAATTTACTAATAAAATATCTTTGCTAAGTCTGGCTCTGACTTTTATTGTTTCCTCTGGCATTACCCTGAGATCCAACGCGAGGTGACAGTTTTTCCCTGCTCCTTTCTGCCCCTCCATGAAAACTCTCTCATTGGAAGACCACAGCTCCATCCTGTGCCACATCTCCTGAAAATACTAAGGATTTCCCAAGAAAGCCCAGGAAACTCAGGCAGCCAGGGCTTCACCTCGAGTCGCCACTACTGGGAGGTGGAGGCGAGCGGGTGCTTCTGGACCGTGGGGGTGGCTCGGGAATCGGTGCGGAGGGAAGGTCGGATCCTCTTCAAGCCCAACGCCGAGATCTGGGGCTTGCAGAAGTACGACGAGCTCTGCGTGGCCCTCACGGCGCCCTCCAACACCTTCGTCCCACTCCGCAGCGGGGAGATCGGGGTCTACTTGGACTACGAGGTGGGGCAGGTCTCCTTTTACGCCCTGGGCACCCGCTGCTGCGTCTTCACCTTCCGCGTGGCCTCCTTCAGCGGCGAGAGGGTCTTCCCCTACTTCTGCGTGCTGCTCTCCACCATCAAACTGCCCCCCAGGGCCTGACGAGGCGGCGACGGGGTCCCCCCGAAACCCTTCGGGTGCTTCCAGGAGGAACGGAGACGCCCCTCGCCGCCCCTCGCCTCATGTTATTGTTATGATTTGGGTTTTGTTTCCGTCAGGGTTTGGGGTGATTCCCACCATCTGTAGCTCACGGGTCTGCCTCACCTCATTTCATTTTTATTCATTCATTTTTATTCCTTTTTATTCATTTATTTTATTTTTTTCTTCAGGGTCTGGGGTGATTTCCACCGCCCATAGCTCATGAGTCTGCCTCACCTCATTTTACTTTTATTTGTTTATTTATGTTTATGTTTCTTCATTTTTATTCAATTTTAATCATTTTATTCATTTTTATTATTTATTTTCATTTATTTTCAATTATTTTTATTTTTTTTTCTTCAGGATTTGGGGTGATTTCCACTGCCTGTAGCTCATGGGTCTGCCTCGCCTCATTTTATATTTATTTATGTTTATTTATGTTTTTATTCATTTTTATTCAATTTTAATCATTTTATTCATTTTTATTATTTATTTTCATTTATTTTCAATTATTTTTATTTTTTTCTTGAGGATTTGGGGTGATTTCCACTGCCTGTAGCTCATGGGTCTACTAGATTTTATTTCTATTATTATTTTTACTTCTATTTTTTCTACTTTGTTTACTTTTATTTTATTTTTATATTCATTTTATGGTACTTTTATCTTTTCTTCAGGATTTGGGGTGATTTCCACCACCTGCCTCAGGCTCCGATGTCTCTGTTGCGGGTTAAATCTGGGAGGTTTTGGGTCTCGTGGCGGTTTGAGCCGGAACCCCCAGTCTCAGCTGAAAGTTGCTGGTTTTAGGGTTATTAAAAGCATGTTAATAGTTTAACGAGCTGAAATCTTTGTTTTTTCCCCCAAACCCATGCTGACTTTCCACCCTGATTAAACTCCCAAATTTCAGCAGAATTCTCTTGAATACTGTTGTCATAATTTCCTAATTTCAGCAGAATTTGCTTGAATACCGCCTGCAGCTACCTGATTACAGAACTGAGTTTTAAATGAAATTGTTTAAAATCATTTTTTTTTCACAGGAATTTGCCATTTCTCCCCTTCCCTTCCCTGTTTTCCCCACTGTCGTTTATTTGAGCAATTAATGTGCGATTATCACTGGCTTCAGACCAAAATTAACAGGTTTTGTTGTTATAAGGAGGAGAGGTGCGGGGGGGAATACGTTTGGGTTGGGATTTAATGGAAAAAAAATGGGGAAAACAAAAAAAAAGTCCCAAAAATGCCTTTCACAAAATGGCGGCCGGGACCTCCCCTCAGAGGTGGCGGGTTTCGTTCCGGCCGCTGATTGGCTCGTGCCTCCGTTGTCCCGCCCTTGCCGGCTGCTGATTGGCTCCCGCTGCGAGGTTCTTCCTCCTCCCCTGGCTGCTGTCGTTGTGTTGCGGGACAGGGAAAAATTCGCTTTTTTTGGCCATTTTTTGCCTTTTTTTGTCCTTTCTTCTACCTTTTTGCGCGAGTTTTTGCAGCGCTGCACGCGGGGGAGCGCTTGGAGCTGCTTTCAGCGCTCCCTTCCTCTGCTCTGCGCCGCGATGGAGGCAGCGGGACCAGCGGGACCTCCGCGGGCACGGGATGGCGGCAGGGCCCGGAATGGCGGCAGGGGCCGGGGTCGCGGCAGGGCCCGGCGGCACACGGTGAGTTCGGGTTCGGGGGCAGCGTTGCTGGGGGGGGGGTTCCACATTTTTGGAAGGGCTCTTCTAAGGAGCCGGTGTGGGAGGAGCCTCCTTATAAGCCCCACCCACGTATAAATGTTCCTCGGTGTATGAGGTGCGGATGCTGAGCTGCATTTGCGGCTCCACCGTACAACCTGGAGGGCAGCGTTTTGGGATTGGGGCTGCGATTAAGGTTGGCATTGGGATTAGGGCTGGGGTCGGGAGTGGGTTTGGGTTGGGGCTGGGGCCGCTGCTGGGGTTTGGGCCGTGAATGGGCTCGGGGTGGGGGCTCTGCCGGCCGGCCTCGGCCCCGGCGCGGCTGGGGGGGTTGCCGGGACCGGGCCCCGGTGCGGCCGGGGAGATGCCGGGCCCGCGGCCCGGGGGGGAGCCGGGAGCTGCGTTTGTGGCTGCGCCCTACAACCTGGGGGGCAGCGTTTTGGGATTGGGGCTGCGATTAAGGTTGGTCATTGGGATTAGAGCTGGGGTCGGGAATGGGTTTGGGGTGGAATTAGGGCTGCGGTTGGGGTTTGGGCCGGGGCTGGGGTTGGGGCCGGGGCCGGGGCCGGGGCTGGGGTTTGGGCCGTGAATGGGCTCGGGGTGGGGGCTCTGCCGGCCGGCCTCGGCCCCGGCGCGGCTGGGGGGTGGTTGCCGGGACCGGGCCCCGGTGCGGCCGGGGAGATGCAGGGCCCGCGGCTGGGGAGGAACCGGGAGCTGCGTCTGTGGCTGCGCCCTACAAGCTGAGGGGCAGCGTTTTGGGGTTACGGCTGTGATAAAGGTTGGTCATTGGGATTAGGGCTGGGGTCGGGAACGGGTTTGGGATGGAATTAGGGCTGCGGTTGGGGTTTGGGCCGTGAATGGGCTCGGGGTGGGGCCGGAGGCCCGGTGCGCGACGGTGACGGCCGGGGGGCGAGGCGGGCGCGATCGCGGCGGCGGCCTGGGGGCGGTGCCGGGCCCCTTTGGGGTAGCTGAAATTGGGATTATTGATGAGATTGGGATCGAGATTGATACCGGGATCGGGGTGTTGGAGGCGGCCAAGCCCTCCCCTGTTTCCCAGGCTGCTGCCGGTTTTCTCCCAGCTTCCTTCCGTTACCTTCTCACCGCAGCATCACCTTCCCACATGTTTTTATTGTCATTTTTCTGTCTCTTCTGACTTTCTCCCTTCCTTCCAGGTCCTTCCTCCTCTGCAGCACCCCTTGTTGCCTGCCCCTGGCTGCTACTTTCCCAGCCACAAGCTGCCCTCAGAGGACCCGTGGAGATTTTGGCCCTTGGAGGCTACAGAGGGGAGGCTCCTGACATATGGTTGTGACGCTGCCTGTGGAGGAGGAGCACAACAACGAGGACAACGATTCTGTGATGGAGAGTAAGTGCTCTGAGGCAGGTGTGCCCGTTGTGCTGCCCTTGCTGGCTGCTGATTGCCACCCACCTGCGAGGTTCTTCCTTCTACCGTGGTTGCTGTCTTTGTGGAGCGGTACAGTGAAAAATTTATTTGTTTTTTTTTTGTCTTTTTTCTACCTCCCTACGCGCGTTCTCACAGCACTGCAGGCAGGTGAGCGCTTGGAGCTGTGCCCACTACTCCCTTCCTTTGCTCTGCGCTGCAGTGGGTCTGTAGCTCATGGGTCTGCCTCACCTCGTTTTAATTTTATTTATTTATTTTATTTATTTATTTTATATTTTCATTTATTATTCTTTTCATCAGGATTTGGGGTGATTTCCACCACCTGCCTCAGGCTCCGATGTCACTGTTGCGGGTTAAATCTGGGAGGTTTTGGGTCTCGTGGTGGTTTGAGCTGGAACCCCAAGTCTCAGCTGAAAGTTGCTGGTTTTAGGGTTACTAAAAGCATGTTAAATAGTTTTACTGAGCTGGTGTTGAGCTGAAATCTTTGTTTTTTCCCCCAAACCCATGCTGACTTTCCACCTTAATTAAACTCCCAAAATTCAGCAGAATCCTCTTGAATACTTCTTTTACACTTCGTTTGCCACCCAGCAGCTCTCGCAAAAGAGACCTAGGAGCATCAGGGCATGTGAGCAGGAGGTCGGGTGGTGGAGTAGCTCCCTGGTGTCCCAGAGGGAAGGGAGCCGTGGGAACGAAGAAAAGCTTCAAGGCCTTGGGATGGTTGGTGAAAGAGGCTTTTTGGGCGGAGTGTGTGGCTTTTTGTTGGAGTGGCCTAGAGGATCTTCCAAGGTTCCTTCCATTCCCTGACATTCCGTGGAGGTCCAAACGTCCCCCTACCACCAGCGGCACCCCCAGGGTGTGGGGAGGGCCTGGCCTCTCTCAGCCCTGCTGCCAGGGGTCTGCACGGCGCTGGGACCCCTCACTTCCCCCCTTCTTTTCGTTGCAGGTCTTCTTACCAAGTGCAAGGCTAGAAGAGTTGCGGCCTGGAAGCTATACGTGTTCGGCATCATCAGTCTAATAGAGTTCCTGGTTTTGATTTCCATTATCATCTGTGAGTGTTCCCAAGTGGTTTCGGGGCTCTGCCCTGCGGCCCCAGCTGCAGGCAGGGGGAAAAAAAAAAAGGGGGCTCGGTGCCTGTATCCAACCCTGCTGCTGCCCCTTCTTTGCTCCTGCAAACCCCTGGATTTCTTTGTCCTTAGGGCTCTCTCAACGTGCGTATTCCTGCCCCCATTCGTGGATCGGGTTCGAGGGGAAATGTTTCTACTTCTCCGACGGGGAAAAGAACCAGACCTTGAGCCGGGCTGACTGCCACGTGCACGGCGCCAACCTGGCCGTGATCCAGTCCAGGGAGGAGCTGGTGAGGCTGGGGCTTTTCTCCTTTTTTATTTTGGGTGGGGGGCAGAGCTCTGGGGGTGTTGGTGAGCCCCCTTTTCAACCCTGCTCCCCCTCTGCTCCCAGGAGTTCATGATGCGCTATAAAGGTTCTCACGACCACTGGATCGGGCTGAGCCGCCAGAACCCGAGGCAGCGCTGGGAATGGGACGATGGCACCGAATTTGACAGCTCATTGTGAGTCCGCCCTGCCCTGCACGTGGGTTTTTGGGGTGAGGGGGCAGAAAGCATGCAGGATGCTCACCCCACTGCCTCCCCTGCAGGTTTCCCATCGGAGGAGGCGAGGATTTTGCTTTCTTGAACAACCAAAGAGTCACCAGCGCGCGCAGCAGCGGCGAGCGGCACTGGATCTGCACCAGGCAGCCCTGAGGCCGGCAGACAGGGCGCCTCCAGGTCTCGTGCAGAGAATACCGCACACCTTGGTGCCCTGTCAGATATTTTGGGGAACTGACAAGACCAGGGTTCATTCCTCAGGCCTGCAGGTGGTGTTTTGTCACAGCTGCTGCTCCTGGAGCTTTTTCAGGTTTTCTGTCTGCTACTACGCAGTTCCCTTGCTTCTGCAAAACGTTTTTGTCATCTCAAACTCTTGTGCACTACATTTTTGCTTCGTCTTTATCAGTGCATAGCATTAAGGTAGGAGACACAAGGTTGTATTAGGAAAAGTAGTAATGTAGCGTGTCGTGTTAACTGGCAAGAGATACTCCATTTCCTTTTTAACTCTTCAAACCCTTTTCTAAGGGCACTTGCACTTTTTTAGCAGAGGAGGAGGAGCATTTTAAAATACAGTGTTTTGTCAAAGAGATATCAGTATTGTGCCTAGGCAGAAACTGTCACAGGATGGGAATATCTCAGACCGCGTCCTGGAAATGGTTTGGACTGGAAGAAGGCTTCAAGATGGTCCTGTTCCAACCTCACTGCCCTGGGCTGAAGTCCCTGAGCTGCTGCAGGGGGTGGAAATCAGCTGTAACCCATCACCCCTGCTGGTGCTATCCTGAGAAATGTGAACAGCAGGTGTGTGGCTGTGGCAGGGAACAACTTCCCACATTTGCCATTCCTCCTGTACTTGAAGAAACTCTTCACGGGCTCCCAGGCTGGATGGCAGTAGCAGTTCAGTCAGGTCTCCGTTAATGTGAACTGGTGCCCGTGGAGAGAAATGGTGCCTTTCTCTTGCTTTTCTGCTCCTCTGTATCTTTGTATTATATCAACACTATTTTTCTACGTACTGTTTTAATATATGTGCAATTTTTTAATAAATTTTTTTTACTGTCTGGCTCTTTTATTGTTTCCTCTTGTGTTACCCTGAGATCCAGCACGAGGTGAGTTTTACCCCACTGCTTTCTGCTCCTCCATGAAAACTCTCTCATTATAAGACCAGAGCTCCATCCTGTGCCACATCTCCTGAAAATATTAAGGATTTCCTAAGAAAGCCCAGGAAACTTCACTGCAGGTCCCCCAAATCTTGCTTTTAGGACAGCACCTTTGAGAAACAGCAGATCATCTTTGCCAAAAAATAAGAAATTCTCTGCTTTTGGATCCTGGAAGAGCTCAGCAATTCTAAATGATGCTTCAGGGTGGGGTGCGGAAGGGTTTTGTGTAGGAAGCCCTCGTTCTTTGCTGACCTAAGCCAGACTTTGTGACATTTAGGTGTGTGAATTCTGGAGAAAAGACTAACAGCAGGAACTGGCATCTTGGTGAAGTGGTTTCTGCTATATTTCAGGTTGGTGAATTGAATTTGTTAACCAAAAGTGCATTTTTATTGCGTGGAAGTGCCCTGCCTGGGACTGATGGAGGAAAACCGATAAGTCTTAAATTTATGTGCTTAGTTAAAGGCAATGCGCCAAGCCCACCGCTGCAAAATTCTCCCAGTTTGGGTTGCAAGAGCAAGTTAAAGCTAAATTATCTGCGTTTGAGGAAAAAAGACTTAATAACAGCAGTTGGAGCGTGCGCGTAGCAGGAGAGGCAATCAGGCCGTAGGTCTCAGTGAGCAAAATAAGGAAAGAGAGAACAGAAAACCCCAGATTAAGGCTGGCTCTGTCTTTGAGAAGCAATTACGTCGGTACTCGTTACCGAACACGTCGCTCACCGGTTCTGCCAGCCCCTCATTTTGTGAAACTCTTGCAAACAGCTCAAAGGGCATCAAAAGCCCTCAAAATGCAGGATCGAGTCAAGCCATACAAGGCTAAAAGGTCGCGTTATTCACGAGGTGTTTTTACGAGGAGGCTCTTCCACGGATTTGCTTCTACATCTCCAGTCCTGGAGGTGGCACTGGTGGACTTGATTTGGAGCTGGCTGCTTGCTGGGAGGAGCGAGCTCCTGAAGCTCCCGGAGTGCGTTTCTCGTGCTGTTGTTTTCCAAAGGGAACCAAAAATAAGAGCGCTGCTACAAACCCTACGATCCTCACCGTCACGCCTTCACCAACCGTCTCCGAGCTGAGGTGCTCCTCAAAAAAACATCTTCCCAGGATGGAGTTAGCCGTGCAAATGTCCCGTGTTTCACCTGCATACCCTAAAAGCAAAAAGATCCCCAAAGCAAAAAGATTCCCTAAGCAAAAGATTCCAGGAAATCCTTGGAAGTCCATCCTTGCACCGTTTCCACATGCTCACAAGGAACTGGAAAGCTTTTCCCAGCCGAGCAAGCTTGAAAACTGCTGATTTGACTTGCCAAAAATTGGGAAAAACTCGAATCCCATGCCATTTGACCTTTTTTTCCCCCCATAGAAGCTGCATCTTGATGTCTCCTTAGGGTGAATCCTGTGCACGCTCAGGCATGGTTTGATTGTCAGCTTTGTGACTTCTGTGGTGCTCTGATATTTCATTTTATTGTGAAATGAGTCGTGAATGAGTCATTGCCATGTATGACCCTGCTGCCCTGAGAAATTATCAGCTGTTTGGTTGCAAGTTCAGGTAGTAACTTCAGTTCCTATTCAGCAGTTTTCAGCTGAATTCCCTTCCTGAGCTTCCTTCAAAGTTTCTGAGCTTTTGTCTCGTCTGGATCTGCACCAGGCAGCCCTGAGGCCGGCAGACAGGGCGCCTCCAGGTCTCTTGCAGAAAATACCTCACACCTTGGTGCCCTGTCAGATATTTTGGGGAACTGACGAGACCAGGGTTCATTCCTCAGGCCTGCAGGAGGCATTTTGTCATAGCTGCTGCTTCTGGAGCCTTTTCAGGTTTTCTGCCTGCCACTACACAGTTCCCTTGGTTCTGCAAAACGTTTTTGTCATCTCAAACTCTTCTGCACTACGTTTTTGCTTCGTCTTTATTAGTGCATAGCATTAAGGTAGATAGTAGAGGCAAGGTTTGATTAGGAAACATAGCAACATAGCGTGTAATGTAACTGACAACAGATACTCCATTTCCGTTTTAGCTCTTCAAACCCTTTTCTAAGGGCATTTGCACTTTTTTAGCAGAGGTGGAGGAGGTGTACTGGGGGGGTAATACGTTTGGGTTGGGATTTAATGGAAAAAAAATGGGGAAAAAAAAAAAAAGTCCCAAAAATGCCTTTCACAAAATGGCGGCCGGGACCTCCCCTCAGAGCCTCCACAGAGGTGGCGGGTTTCGTTCCGGCCGCTGATTGGCTCGTGCCTCCGTTGTCCCGCCCTTGCCGGCTGCTGATTGGCTCCCGCCTCTCCCGCTTGCGAGGTTCTCCTTCCTCCCCTGGTTGCTGTCGTTGTGTTACGAGACAGGG